TCCTCTTAAATATACAATAGCGTCTATTGTGCTTAGGTATTTCATTTATCTTCTACAAAATACTGACCTGAAATTGGGTATTAAGTTACGCACATGTACTTTATTTTTCTTATATTATAATAAAACCATATTGAAACTATAGTTAGTCGACCACGCGGTTTCTACGACACAAGGAAGAATGTGATGACTGGTGGATATATTGGTTATTAATAATTACCTCTTATAAATACAAAAATGTGTTAAGAAGACTCTAGGAAATTAAAAAAGTGATATTTATACCACTAAAAGTCAGACAAAACTGCAGAAATTTAGTTTGACGGATTTTAATTTTGAAAACCGATTATGATTGATGATCGTGTTTACTAGGTATTAACAGAGGCGATAACGACAGCCCATCACGCCTAAGAAATGGTCAAGAATAAAATTAAAATGTACATACTATGCACGAGATGCCTTTCATATTTTTAGTATTGCATTTTATCAACTTAAAATTGTTCTATATCATTGAACACATTTTTAATATTAGTTAACTTAATTTGCAAATAACATTTAATATCCAACTAGTTAAATATTTTAATACCATATGTCCGCAAAAACAGGGTACACTGCAGAAAAGAGAAGTTGCGCATGCTCAAAATACAAGAGTTAAAAATGTTTAGTTATCTAAGTTTAAGAAATTTATGATCCAATAGTTTAGTCTCATGTTCCGCAAGCATAATTCAAAAATATAATATGTAGGGTACTGAGTAATATACAAGTAACGAAGTTATAGAGCGTACCGTGTTTTTTTGGATATACGATTTATTATCTTTACTTATTACGTGATATACACAGTTAGCGTTAGAAGATAATACTGGACCTTCGATGAAAAAATAATAAGCGTTCAAATATCCGCACAATAAAAAATTCGTACGTGAAATAGGTCACTAGTTTTGAGAACCAAGCATTCTAAGCCATTTAGGCAAGTATTGTAGATTCGTGTTGTATTTTTAAAATTGAGAACTACCATGACGCATTAAATAATTTTATAGAAAATCCAAAAAACATACAAATATCACACGTTCCGGGTATTCGTCACAAAAGTACAAAATATAACTGCAGATTGAGCAAATTTACCTCTGAGCAATAAATTATAAATTTCTGAATGTTTAAGTATTGATAAATTATAACATTTGAATATAGATTATCTGATTAGAGCAGAGTTTAGTCAAAAACACTCAAGACTCAATCTATTTTTTAATCGTATATCCTTTAAAAGTTACAGAGAAAATCAAAAAGTTGACCTCCATAAAAATCAATCTGGGTGCTTGATTTTCTTTTACTAGAAAAGTTTGTCCTTACCACATTACCTTAATATTTCGATAATATTCATGAGTCCATCGAGTGTTCGTAATTATTGTACAATATTGTGAGAACAAAGTTCAATTACGATCCCTGTACTTTCAATACCTCAAAGGTCTAGGAAATGAAATAAAAATTGTACATGTCAAAAATTCAATTTATTACATTCATTTTTTAAAAAAAGAACATTTCGAGTTGAAAATAATTGTATTCAAGATAACGTAAAAGTAGATATTTCATATCGTTTGATATACTCTTGTTCGTTTCACGTTTATAATCATTTTTAATAGCCATAATATAAAAACGTATACAAAGTTAAATAATTTATTAACAAATTTAATTCGCATAAATAGGAGATCATGGCGTATCATATTTAAAATATTTTTTATACGATAGACAATAAATATAATGTATTTGTTAGAAACTCCAATAAGTAAAAAAAGGAATATGTTTATATAATATGTACTATCGTCTAACAAAATTCGACTTGTTAAAGATTTATACATTGAAAATTGATTAAATTTCGAGAGCTGTGTATAAAATAAATTTCTGTCCCTAAAAAATATAATTATAGTCGATGAATAAAATGTTTTTACTAAAAAACAAAGTAATGTTAACGGAAATATACGAAAAACCAACAACTCCAGGAATGAAATAAAATATAATTTTAAATGTACAAAAATCCATTAGTATAAGCGAACGCAATAATTTTAAAATATTATCTCAGTTTCGTAATTCTGAAGATAGAATCTATTCCGAAGAAATATAAAATACGTGGGATCACTATTAATCCACGACGGATGAGATTATATTTACGAAAAAAACGATTTGTAAACTGACGGTAAAGAGAAGAAGCTTAGGTAAATGTGAAAACACGCGCATAAATTTCCGTCGAATAATAAACGTCAAGGTACCACAGTCGAAAAATGACCAAATTTTTTTTTACGTCTGTTATGTTTGTCTACAACACGTGAACGTATATTATTTTAAACAAGAATCGGGAAAAATTACATTCGGCCCCGTGTAAGTCCCCGGTTTCTGCACGTGATTTATGTGTCCATTAATAATGAAATATCTCCAGTAATTAAAGTTATTATGTTGCCTAATCGAATACGATACGTTTTCAATTTTGACATTACTACAAAGGTAAACACATCTAAACAACATATAGTAGTATACGATTAAATAAAAATCTCTTCTCTATTACAGCATAGATGACGTACTGTGAACTAATATATGATAATAGTCAAACAGTAAATTGATTTAACTATAACAATATGTCATTGTTGAAATAGTCTATTATTTATTACGATTACAACAAAAATAATAGGTACGTGGAAGTGTGTGACAACTGACAAATAAAGTATCGTGCAATACTATATATACTATTTAGGTGACTATGTTTTTACACAAAATTAAAGTTGGAATCTTACAAACAGTATATCTAATGCTCCGAAATTACAGTGACAGGTGGACACAATGAGAATACAAGATCATTCGTCACGTTTAATAAAGGTAAAAGTACAAACGGGGAATTTAACGACTTCCGAGGTATAGCTCTGTTTTAATTCAGGTACAAAACTGCTGCACGCGGAACAGGATTATATGGCATTTACAAGAGAACTTTTCAGATGAGAACCTAGGAGTGATTCGGCCAAACCCATCACCGCACATAAGCGGCCGGTTCTTACATTTATAACCTTTACGTTTTACGACAGGTTGATGTTGAAAATGAGGAACGCACGATGACGGGAGATGTCCGCCTATTTTTCATAAGCCTAAAATAAAAAAAAAGGTGCAATTTCGTTTACGCATTGGCACGGTACATAAATAATATAATACAAGTGAGGCTGGGGAATACGTATAAAGAGTACGAAAGATTCCAAGTGCACCGTCGAAAAAAAATTGTAAGGAGCAATGAAGTGGTTGTAAAGGATTGACGATGATCGCGGATCAAGTTGGTGTATACTCGTCGAACTCGGGGGAAAACACCGTTGGCCACTTAAAGGTGTCGAGGGGAGCAAAGCGAGGAGGTAGAATCGAAAAACATTTATCGTGAGGAAATAAAATTGCGGAGTTACCGATGACTGGAGATAGTGAAGACTGGCAGAAAATACGTAGGTACGTACGACGGAGTAATGGTTTTAATGGCCAATTTACAGACGATAATAAATGGATATTATATAGACGATGGTACCTATACCTATACTGCGGAAACGTAAATCGGACCGATTACTGCAGCTGTTAAAGGCTCGGGGGAAACTATGTCAATCGAAAATTTCGATTTTCGTCCGTCGATATATCTATACGCAGTATGGATGACTATTAATTATTGTACATCGCCGTAGATCCGTGTCTGTAGACACGTGTCATGACTATCGAGCGCCGTGACGTTGATACCCTGCATCGACGGACAAGGAAATCATTTCCGGGGAAATCCCCCGCGTGGCTGTCACGTAGCTCATGACAAATCACGAAATGGAGGCAGTGGTGGAGATAGACGAGTAAACACGTCATAGCCGTTTACTACCGTCGTATAATATTTTTTAAATCGTCCTCAACGCACTGGATAAAGATTTCGGTGGTTGTGAGTGGTGCCTATATAATTTGATTAATGATAATGTATGAAAGGTACCGAGTTAACAATGCGATAGGAGGTGAGATGAAAAAGATGATCTACCTTCGACTTGCCGAAAAATCGGCATCCAGGTATATAGGCGTGTGTCTCACGCGAGAAGAGCAAAAAAATAAATAAAAATGATTCTTCGCCGGTCGTCGTCTTTAAGTCGGCGGCGGCAGCGCGCGCGAGAAGAACAACACTCATCGGGGTCAGTCGGCGGCGCCTCCCCCCCCCTCTAACACCACCGCCATCGCCGACACTGTATACCGAAATCACCACACACACACACGAGCGCTCGCGCATACCATGGTAGTGGTAATGGCAGAGCACGCGACGGACGGTTGTATGCACTATTATAAGTCTACGTGCGTGTGTGTACCGCGGTTTGTGTGTTGGGAGGGGGGTGAGGAGGCGGATGCTGTGCGCGAGAGCGGGCGTGGTGCGTTCTAGTACCGCCACCGCCACCATCACCGCCGCCGCCGCCGCCGCCGCAGTCGACACCACCTCCGGTGCAAAAGGTCTTCCCTCCGCCCCGACGACCATTCCCTCACACCCCCGGCCATAGTCCGGTCGACGGCGTCCGGGGACCGACGATGACGACAACGACGACGAGGACTACGACGACTCCGACGACGACTACGACTACGACAACGGTGGTGGTGATAGTGGTGGCAGCGGGCGTAGCGGCCGGGCGGTGGACGGGATAGGCCGGCGGGCGGGATGGTAGCGGCTGAGGGGTGCTCGGAATTATCGAACAGCGGCCCCGAAACCTTTATGACGGGGGCGAAGCGCGCGCTTTCCGCAGCCTCGCTACGGCGCGCCTGGGCCGCGAGAGAGCGAACGCGGCGAGCGTCGACCGGCGGCGCGGCGCGGGCCGGGGACGGCGGTGGAGAGCGAACCGCCGGGCGATGGCGAAGGGACCACCGCGATCGGGGGAGTGGGGCGGGACGCGCGAGGCAGAGCGTGTGCTGCGCGCTTCCCCAGCGTCCGCTGCCGCCGACGCCGCCGCCGCGCGTGGTGTTGATGATAAACGAATACGCAGTCTGGCCGTGCGGTGCGCGACACACAGACGCCCGCGACCCATCACCGCTGTCGTCGTCGTCGTCTCGCCGACGAGACACCGCCGCGCGCGCCGAAACGCCGATTGATACTAAACACCTGCCGTTTATGGCGATCTATATGATATACTGATAATATTGCAATCGATCAGGCGTGTTCCTATAAAATAATATACTACGTCAACGTGTGTGTATGTATAAATATATAATATTTATCAATAAAATAATACCGGAATCGAACACGTTTCTATCCATCCCCTGTACCGATTTACGTTCTAATCGCTGGGCATTTTTCACCATCGCGTTTACTCGCCGTCGTCGTCGTGCCGTGTAGGGTGTACGCGCGCGTGACATGTCCGACAATCTGGGTGCCGCCAACACCGCCGCCACTGCCGACGAACCGGTCTGTGCCGAAGCCACGCCGCAGGCGCCAGTGCCGGTACCGCACCAGCAGCAGCTCGACGAGGGTTCCCGATCGTCACCGGCCAGACAGCACCAGAACGGTGGTTCGCCCGCCACCATGGCCACGGTCGTCCCGTCGCCGGACACGCCGCGGAAGAGAGGTACGAATCGCCAGACAGGCGAGTTATCATAATGACGATGACACCAAAGTATATATCTATATAGGAACACCGCAGCTGTAAGGCATAAGGCAGTCCTATCTTGGGGTGTCCATACCAGGGGATCATCCCTTTATTTAGAAACCAAACCAAAGTCAATAGGTAGTTGTTATAAACTCATAAAAAACGGTATTCGTACGTCGAGTGTCCACGAACAACTGCTGTGAGCAATTATAAATCATGGGACAAGTATAATGAATTGGTGTATTCCACAATGTCACTCTTTCCAACTGCACATCCTGACCAACAGGCAAATTTTATACCTACATGCATTTTAAATCATAAAAACCGTTTAACAATTTTTGGGGGCATTTTTTTTTATAGTTAAGTCAAAATTATTGGGTCGAACTGGTTCCCAAAGGCCGCATGCAGAATTTAGTCGTATATGTCGGTGGCGTCGGTGAAACACACCGTTTAATAGCGATCGGTGGTCCGTAAACGAGAGAAATGATTACATTTATTTACTTTTTAAAACAACATTCATATGAAGTTGATGTGAATTTCTCGAGAAAACGTCGTTGTTATTAAAGTTATTGGGTATATTATAAAACTGTGCAAAATCTTTGGAACGGAGGCGGACAATAGTAATGAGAATCTTCGACGATAATAATATTATATTACTGTACACAGCTGCTATACAGCGACTGTACCATATCATTTTAATATTGTTTTCCGTCGAAACAGCCCGGGAAGATGACAGCGTGTGCACGTATTAATATCATATAGTTTACCGGCTAATCTGTAACACAACCGACAAAACAATAACAATAAAATTATATTACATTACATGCGATCGCGGCGGTCATCATCGTCTCCGCAAAGGGCCTGTACGCATATATTACACGTATGCGTATATTGTATCGATTGATTCCGTATCCGACCGACGTCATTGCCACGGCCGTCGTCGTGCTGGCACAATATTTTAAATTTAAATCAAAAAATTTGCTATTATTACCACCGATATTACGCTGATATCGTCGCATAATAATATTAGTTGTTACACACATTCATATCAATATATACTCCGTCGCGTAGATTGGCACGCTGTCATAATATTATAATATAATGTTAAGTAATACATTATTACTATTATTATTATTATTATTATTTCGCATAGTGTGTTCGCATTGCGATGTCACCATAAGACTTCCGAGAACGGTCGGAGAGATACGCGTCAAGACGAAAAATCACCTTATGATATTAAATCACGAGATTACATGTACTTATAATAATATAGTCTGTATAGATTTATCTATATGCATAATAATTGTATTGCCCGTGTCATTAGTGTTACAAAAATATAACATAAACAAGCGTATTATTAGATAATCGACAACGACATTACAGTTAAATTTAAACTACTATAACAATACAACAAAGTTGAATTTTTTTTAAGAAACCGAACACATTGGTTAAGTATATTAAAAGTCAAAACTATATTTTTGAAACTGATATCCGGGGCCCTCATCATAAACAATACAACTTTAAAAACATAATATAGCGAAGTATTTCGTTGATATTCCGTTGTGGTTAGGAAAATACAATAAGAGATAAAAAACACATAACTTTGGTGAAGAGTGGTAATAAAGTTGTCCGGGGAGGCAAATTCCACTTTACCCATTACCCATCCCCTCCACCTATTAACCTCGTAGATCCGCCACCGTTCTCTCGGTATAAGTAAATAGTAAAAATATAAAGTTATCGTTACAAACTTGTAACGATGTTTGGCCGAAAACCTTGAAGTAAACCGTTCATCTATAATATATATAATAATTTGATACAATTATGCAAATTACAGTAAAAAATATGTACTTGCCTACAATTTACACGTCACACTTGACGTTTTGGATACATTTATACGTATAATTAATATAATAAAAACTATCTTTCTCGAATAGGCTTTATGATGTTTAGTCCTTAAATAGTTCAATTACACCCTCGCGATTGGCGTTTGCAAACAAGTGTGAAAATAATGATTTACAATATCGATACAACTATTATATAATTACACATTATTCGTACAAGGTATAACTACTCTGTTCTTCCTGTACTAAACGGACACAATCGTTTAATTGGAAATAACATGGTTTTTATTCTACACATATATCTAAGTATGACATGTGTAGCACTTGTCTGTATGCTCCATCGAACTTATATTACAAAAATTCGTATCATTTATGGTCTACAACAGGTAATAGTATAAATGCCAATTTGTCATCTTTAATATTTGTACAATTTATTCGCAAATTGCGGACAGTTTTCGGGAAATTATTCATTGTTACGGACTTAGGGTACTTTATTATTGCACCTGCCTACATGTAATGCAATTCAATTGTGGTAAAAACATTAACCCATATTAATTCAATTAATAATTAATTACCGAATGTAATGTAACATCAATAAACCAGTGCCCGCAGCATTATAACTGCAGGAAAGATATTTTAACAAAATTCAAACTTTGTAGCCAAGGAAATTGTTTAAGTCTTCAAAGAATAATAAGACTAAAGGACGTTCAATAATAATTCAATTTGCTCAAACCTAACTTTGTTTAATACAATCAAAATATGTTCTCAACATAATTTTAAATTTTAAAACATTTCTCTAATAACTTTTATTATTTTTAAATTCGAAAAAAGTTAGTCAAAACTAATAGTGATCAATGGAAAAATAAATGTTAATTTTTCTTTGATTGCATATTCACACGAAATTATTGAAAATTACTAATAAAAATCATTTTTATAGTAGTAAAATATTAAATAATATGTTTAAGATTTATAAAAAGTAGTTGCGATTTACAGTTAATATGTTTTACTAACATTTATTCAATTTAGATTGGTGAAAATATATCATAATATTTAAAGAATAAAATCATTATTTATAGGTAAGATGAAAACATTCCGTTCCATTTTACTCCTAATTTTACCTTAAACAAAATATTATATTATAACAGGTTATATTGTAACCATATAATATAATATATTTATATTAGTATTTTTAAAGTACAAAACATATTTAGCTAAAAAAATTTCAGTGACTAAAAAACTGAAATAATTTATACCATTTAATTGTTATGTCAGTTGGTAGCGTTAATATAAATTATAACAATAACTGCAACATGAAGTTACAATTATATCTAATTAGGAAAGATTCAAAAATGTCAATTACAGTTTTAATAAAAAAATGTGGACATTTTCATACTTTTTTGTGGATAAAATTGTACGACACGCATATTCGTTTAAAATTCAACTAACAATTGTCACATGATTATTAAGTCATACGCTTTGCTTCGCCCGATCAATTAATACATTTCAATTAAACAGAAACTATTTTAGTATTTTACATTCGTTGTCAAATGTCTATACAGATAATTTTTAATTTTTAAAAAAATTCCTGTCAATATTAGGTATATGGTTGGAATCCAATCCATTCTATACTTCAAAAACTATAGTTACAATTTCCTGGAAACTAAATCACCATAAAAAGTAATAAGTTTGGATAGGTATATAAATTTTTGTACACAAAGTAGTGGGTTTAACTGCAGTGTATAATATTATTTTTCAAGTATAATATTCTGATAGAAAACGAATTCAAAGCTCTTAACCGAAATCAAAAATACCGGAACTGGAACCTTCTCAAGCTTTTGAAAACTGTTGAGCTGAACCCTTTTTTGATTTTCTCAGGAACCGGTACCAATATTTGCTGGTAGAGAATTTATCTGTGTCATTCGATTCAACTATTATTTAGATATTTTATTTATTTAGGTAATAATTATCAATCCATTACATTTTTTCATAATTTCCTACTTAGATTTATAACTGTTTCTATCTATTAAAAGAATCAGAAAATTATGAAATATATATTTTAGTAACCAACATTTTAATAAATTAATCGTTATTCGCCCGTCCGTGGTAATTAACCCATCGTTATAAATGTTGATATTATTAAATTATTTCCCTTATTCCCTATAGTTTATTTATAGTTATAGACGATGACGTCTAGTGACGTCGATGACTAGCAAAGTGATTATTATAACCGTCATAACTACTCACCAGTATAAGTAGTTATAATATTATTCATATTTTGACATGAACTAATAAACATATACACCTATTTATTAATAAATTCATATTACATAATCTAATACCAAATACGATCAATAACTTATGAATAGTTTCTTATAAAATTAAAATACTTAAAGCATTTGTTAGATACTTTCTAATTTATCATTTTAATTTACATTTTAAAAAAATATCGTAAAAGTTAAGTACCGGTAATCAACAAAAAATACGATTTTTATAGAAAAAAATCGTATGTATTGCACAGTAAATTGCTGGTTTAAACGCCAGTAATTATAAGTTTAATCTTTTACAGCTGAAGCTTACAACTTACAACGGGAGGTTTCAGACTCATAATATCTATGCTTTAAATTAATCCAGAAACATTCTAGGAGTTGTGTAAAATGAATCCCTAAAAGTAATGAGTAATGACTAATGATTAATGACCATAATTCATATCAATATCATTATTGATCAGAGAAAATGATGTACCTATATCAGTGTCGGGTATTCGCTGTGCAGTAAGCAAGTAAATGGCATTAACAACTTCAATAGTAATTACTTGGCCACAAGTACATCTTATCTTACAGCTCGTGTCAGAAAAGATCTTTAAAAATATTGTTTGGATAATTTTAAGATCAAAATAATAAACTTACTTAAAATTCTTTAACCCATTAAGATAAATGTTACAAATAAAAGGTCAAAACCTTTTTATATTCGATATTTAGTTTGTACTTGGTCGAATTTGTTTTACCTTTTAAGTATGAATTATATAACTATTATTATAATTTACTGTCAAAAATATATTGGATAATTTAAAAAATAAGAATTCAAACTTAAATTACGTTATTATAAACAATTGATAAATTTACGGATTTCAATAAATTT